CCACCCACAAGCCTAGGGAAGAAAATCTCCATCCACCTACAACTCTGCAGGGAAAAAAAAAATACATATTTACCTGCAAAACCACAGGAAAAAATCCCCAACTACCCGCAAACCTACAGGAAATAAACACCCAACAACTGGAAGCCTACAAAAGAGAGACCCCAAAGACCACAAATGTAGGAAAATAAATTGGTTTTTCCATCGACACAACTACAGAAAACAAGAAAAAAAGGAAAAGAAGGACTCTGAACAGAAAAGGAAAAAAAAAATCAGAGTTGCAAACCAACAAAAAAGGCCCCAACCCGTTCATGTGTTTCCCTCCCTTCCAGACTTAAGGACTCCTTTCTTACATATATCTGGCATTAGGTCAGAATAGGTCTAGAACTAATGAAGAAAACAGTAATAATAAAGGTCCCAGAAGAGCAGCCCGTCCTGAAAGAGAATGGAGCCCATTTAGTGGCTTTGGAAATTGCTTCTTACTCCTGACTTACTTGGAAAAATATGACAAACAATTAAAAAAAAAAAAGAAAAAACCAACAACTCTGGAGCTGCCACCCACAAAGACAACAGCCTCAAAGTATAGAGGAAAAAAGCCACAAAACCACAAAAAGAAGAAAGGCCAACAGCCACAAAACTTCCAAAAGGCCAAGACCTACACACCTGCAAGCCTACCAAAAGACACACAAGAAAACCCAGAAATCTACAAAAAAAAAAAAGGAAAAATATTTGTTTCACAGGGCATAAATCTACTCTGTGCGTGAGGTTCACCAAATCTAGAAACGTGCTGAAAATTGTTTTCTACCCACATTTCTATTTTAAAGCAAGTAGTTCTGTGGTTTAGATCAGTCCTGATGTGAGCAAGTCTCTCCTGATGTCCTTTCTTGGATAAAAAGATTCTGAAATTGCTTCAGAATCGTTTCAGAACTCATTATGACAAAAAAAAAAAAAAAAAAAAAAAAAAAAAAAAAGAAAGATCATACTGCTCAGCAGCAACAGGTAATAATGAAATGTTCCCTCAAGTGCAGCCTGTCCTGGAAGGGAATGCAGCCTGTTTAGTGGCTTTGAACATGGCTTCTTCCCTATGACTTCCTTGGAAGAATTCAGGGAGAAGAAAAGAGGAAAAAAAAAAAAC